AATGAAGAATTTTAAGGAGAAGGAGTGAGATTTGCATTTTAAAATAATCATTTATTATTATATCATGGATAGATTTGAGGGACTGAAGAACAGATTATTGTGGTTGAGGTCAATGGGACAACAGTAGGAAGGATGGAAAAGGATAAACTTGAGAAGTAGCAAGAAAGTATCATTAACAGGGCTGAATCTGAAATAAGAGAAGGAGAGGACTTCTAATGTGAAGGTGAACAACAGTAGACATAGTGTAACCTTTCAATGAGGAGGAAGAGGCAATTGTGTCTGTTTGCTCTTTGTTTGGTGGAGTCTGGTAGAGATTCATAACTTTTGGTTTTAGTCAGAGTAAATTTGATGTGCCAAAGACATCCAAAAGGTACAATCAAGTAAGAACCAGGCTAGAGAAGGATCCAGTCAGTCAAGAGAGATTTGGCAGCCATAAGCACAGAGGAGAAATTGAACCTATGGTAATAGATGAGGTTGACTAGTGAGGAGCTTCAGAGTCAGAATAGAAGACTTCCTGGACTCTATCCCTGAGGTACTCAGGACGAGGAGGATGGCCTACACAGCACAGTGGGATGGAGCTGAGGGAGGGAAACCTGAAAAACATGAGTCATGGGATCCATGGGAAGAGTGCTCCAAGAAGGAAGCAGTCTTCAATATGGTGGCTTTGAACAGGTCTCTAGGACAAAGGTCCTCCTGACTGGAGCATCTAATTAGTAAACATTTAGGTTTTATTTTCTCATATTTTTATATTCAAGGAGTAATATTGAGGAGATATTGTTCCTTAAAATTGAATCAGGGTTTCAACAGCACACTGGACAATGGTACTGTTGGCAAGGTGGTCCCAAAGGACAGCAACCAGAAGGGGCTGGAAAGAAGGTGATAATTCTGAATCACATGGGGTATGTTGTATGTCATGAGTACATTGGGCATGTGTCGGAGTAAGGACAGCTGTCCTTATTTTAGTTTTGATCCTTAGAGTTCCAAACTTCCCAGGTCCCAAGTTTGCTGTATTTGGATGGGTAGTGAGGGTGAAGGAGGAGAAAAAAGTTGAAATTGAAGGAGGTCAGAGGAAAGGATGAAAAGTAGACCCTTTAGACTGAACACTTGGGAGTTATTCACAGTCAGCAGAATCCTGGCAGGCATAAAAGATGTTTGCATATCTCTGATCTCATTGAAAATATTCATTGGATTAATATGGAAATTAAATTTCTGATTTATCTCTGGTTCATGTCATTATAGATTCAGGTTGTTGAAGAATGAGCACATACTTTATGAGTCATATTCTTCCAGGAATGGTGTGGCTTGAGACAGCACTTTTGAAATCTGTATTATATCTTTCAGGACAGTATGTATTTGAGGGCAGCCAAAGATTTCTGGCATAACTGCAGAACTTATGAGGTTTAAATCTATATTTTATAAACAACTGGACACTTAGCACAGCACTGGAATTAAATGAGGGCATACCTGTCTTTGCTCAGTAAAGGTCATTCTGATCAACAGAAATTACACTTAAAAAAGGAGGACATGCAGAGGACTCTTTTGTTTGCATATTTCATATGTAAATTGACACCATTGGAAATGTCAAGAAATGGCCTCTTTTTAAAAGAGAATTAATCCAATCCAAGGTATTAAGAGACCATCACTTCAAAAAGTGAATCTCCACAAGAATCATCATCTGTGAATCATTCTTCCCTCATATTTTAACATTTTACACTTTCATTTATCTGTCCATTCATTTAGCAAATATGTACACATTTGCTAAACACTATTGTGGTGGCAATCAACTCAAAGATGACATCTGCCCTCAAAGAGTTCACAGTCTAAACAAAGAAAACAAGCATAAGCAATTACAATGCACTGTGGTCAAGTTAGCACACAAGTGCCATGGGATTCTGAACCAGACTTGGGCAGTCAAGCCTGAGACTGAAAAGGCCAAATGAGAAGAGGGAGAGAGAGGTTTGTCCTTACTTTATTTATTGCTCCCCCAAACATAGATTACCCCTGAATAGTGAGCCACTTTTCCTCACCACAACCTAAATTTGATCAAGATTTCCACAGGTTGACATTGACAAAAACACCACTAAATATTAAGAATGAAGAAAGAAAAAAATGCGAGAATATACAAACAACTACAGAAATTATCAGATGTCCAAAGTGTAAGGTTTTGATCCTAAAGCTACATCGAGTCAAAGAAGTAGTTAGGGGTCTTTGCTTACATCTAATCTAGAGTTCTGCTCTGCTGGATCCACACCACCTTGAGGAAGGGACATTTATTTCTATCACTGGGGAAGCAGAGTTTTAGGTAATTGTCTATTTCCCAGGGAAAAGTGGGGGAAAAAAACACTTCACATAAATGTATCTTATTCTTAACCTGATCCCTGGCAAATGAGAGAATTTTTTTCCCCTATGTCTAAGTGACATTAACGTACCCAACAAAATGAACTGGCTCTTGCTTATAGTACAAAAGGTGGTGATTTTACCAATATCACTCTCATGATATAACACCATGTGTGATACAGACACATATACAATAAGAAAGGATGCTGAAGCTTACAGAAAATTTTCATCCTTAAGCAACTGACGTATACAGCAATATTTGTCTAATTAGATCCTCAAATGACTGCCCCCTTAAGCTGAGAGAAAAATTAAAGCAGTTTCTTAAATGTTACTAAATTGTTCACTCCAAAGGTCTTCAATATATATGAATCCATTTCTAGGAAATAGGAACATATTTCTTCCATTTATGTTTCCCTTTGTTTCACTTCTTTGTGTATTTTTCCCCTTAAAAATAGTTATAATAATAATAATAATAATAATAATAATTCTCTGTTCTTTCTGTTCTTTTTTCCTTTCTTTATCTTCTCTTCCTTACCTTTGAGGAGGTAGTCAGGGTGAAGGAGGTCACCTGGGGCTGGCAGGACCTGGATCCATGGGTTGAGGAGATGGTCAGGACCAAGGTGGCCGGTGGAGTCTTTGGGTGTGAGGCCAGAGCCAATGATGGGCTAAGGGGAGCTAATGGGGCTCAGGCTGGAAGTGGCCAGCAGAATTAAGATATTAGTTCCATACAGGAAGACTGTTCAAATATATGTTAAAGATAATCAAAGACAAACTTGTCACTGAGAAAGTGTTACATGCATAAAAAAAGGTGAAAGCTAGAATTAACCCTGTGGAATTACATTGGAGTTAGAGATGCCAGTGTGAACTCATGTTTTAAAATACAGATAGATGATAGCTAGATACACAAAAGGGGCACCTGGGTGGCCCAGTTGGTAAGCATTTGAATCTTGATTTTGGCTCGGTCATGATCTCAGGGTCTTGAGATATATTAGTTATGTGTGTGTGTGTGTGTGTGTGTGTGTGTGTGTGTGTGTGTGTAATCCCTAACTCTGTCTGTTAAGAGGGCCTAGAAATAGTAATACCTAGGAAACAACGAGCACACCCAATGCCCAGATCCTCAGTTTCTAAAAGCTAAGGAAATCTTTCTAAGAAAAAGATTCTAGGTGAAAGGTCTTAATCAAGGACTGGAATACAAAATTACAGATGAGTCAGGAAGGCCTTGTGCCAGAAAGTAAGAAAGTACTGAAATTATGATGGAGACTTGCCAAAAGGATGTTTCTAGGGGCTCCTACTGATCCAATCTGTATAATGTGAGCATCAAAATAGTGATGCTAATGTTTTATAACTAATTGAACAGAATCGTTATTTATTAGTCTCTACTGATATAGATAAAGGGATGTGGGAGACAGAAACTTTCCTTACTGTAGAATGCTACCTAATAAATGTGGATGGGATGATGGAATCAGAAAGCTCGCATTTGGAAATCATCATTGTTATGATTGATTAAGACAAAAATCATCAGTGACTAAAAGATGAAAGTTTAAGGAGTAAGAAGATATTATGTAGTTTCAAATAACCTCCACTCAAGGGTAATGGGTAACTTTATAATAGAGAAACCTGGTAGGCAACACTTTAACCAACTGATCAATGTTGAGTGCGGTCTGATATGGTATACTGTGAAGAACAGGGCATCCCTGTTCCTACTAAAATCCCCTAACCTGAGTCTAAAATGAGGAAACATCAGGTAAACCAAAAATAGGAGACACTCAAAAAATATCTAGTCTGCACTCATTCAAAATATCAAGGTCACAGTAGGCGAGAAAAGACGGACCCAAGTATTCTACACTGAAGACACTGAAGCCTAAAGAGATACGATGCCAAAACACAACATATACTTCTATATTAAATCCTGGACAGGATGGAAAAATGTTTTTCTGCTAAAAATGCCATTGTTGGGACAATTGCCGAAATAAGAATGGGCTTTTTTAGGATTAGATGGTAGGATTTTATTAACGTCAATCTGATTTTGTTGGGTGTACTAGAGTTATGTAGGAGGAGATTGTCTTTTTCTTTTAGAAAATACACATAGGTATTTTGGGGTAACAGGGCATGATGTCTGTAAATTATACTCAAATAGTTCAAGAGATAGAGACAAATATAACATTTGGTCAAATGTTAACAACCGGAGCACTTGGGAGGGTTTTTATGGTTTGTTTTTTATTTTTATTATTATTATTTTGGACTATTCTTGCAACATGTTTGTCAATGCTAAAATTATTTCAAAATGAAAAAAAATAGTGAATAAAATATGGAACTAAAAGGTAAATGGCATTATCTGTATTTCAAAGTTACTTTAAATTTTTTTGAGCATTATCCTATGCTACACTGAAGGTAAAGTCAAACTTCAATTTATTTTGGTCTTGTGCCTCATTGGACAACAATTTTTAGCAAAACATACCCAGTTTGTAATGTATGACTAATATACAAACTTGCATAATTGATTTCTAAAAAATCACTTATTAGGTTAAAAAAGTCTTGGTCTTTCTGCTTTCTTTTTCAAGCTGATATAAATGGTACAATTTAGAATCAGACATTCAGTTTTGTTCTCAATGGAAACAATAATACAACTCAATTTGCTCCCTCTCTCTTTCTCTCTTTTCTAGGTTTCTTATGTCAAAGCGATTGACATTTGGATGGCAGTATGCCTCCTTTTTGTGTTTTCAGCACTTCTGGAATACGCAGCTGTAAATTTTGTATCAAGACAACACAAAGAACTTCTGCGATTTCGACGGAAGAGAAAGAATAAGGTACATGATTAAATGCATCGGGTTCGGAGGGATACTGATTTTCACCAGAAAGTAATTTGTTAAATTTAATACAGTGGTGCAGAGAGGAAATGGAGTCTGGGAACCAAAGGATATGAATATTCCGTTGGTTTTGTCCAGTCGAAACTGAAGTTGTCAAAAATAGCTTCAAGAATAAAATGGTGACATCCAGTTCTACCTTACACAGCATATCTGGTGACATGAGAACTTTATCAACCTCTTTCTAATGTATTCCCTGAAACAACACCATTTTTTGCTTCAATTAACAAAATATATAATTTCTTACCTGCAACGTGAGAGTTCCTGATGGTCTTACTTAACATGTCATCAAATATAGCTATTAAAGTTGTTCCTTTTATCAAGGTAATTCCTTTCATTGTTTCCATAAAAGGTTACCTATTTGTTAATGCTATGATGTTCGTGTAAAACTATGTGGTCTCTCATTCATGCATACTTTCATGTTGTTAACATATTTATTCTGAATCCCTATGGGAAACACAAGAAAGGCTATTGGTGCCTTGCTGTACCTGTTAAATGAAACCCAGAAAAAATTGTATTGATAACATCATTAGGAGACCACAGGAAGTTGTAGAAGTAATCTCAAAATTGAATTTGGATGGACAGAATGGATTTGCTCCCCTCTATTAAGACTTTAATGTCATCTCTCATTTTGTGCACATAAGCTCCATCAACTCCCTTTCCTCTTCTGGAAGGGAGTTTCTATTGATCAGCATATCTAGGAGTTTACTGCTGTTAATGTGAATGTAAGAACTGACATTTAAAAGCAGATGGACTGCCACAGAGAAATGTCAAAGTTTATGCAATAGGAGAAATTATGGCCAGAATCCAATATACTGGAATATTTAAGTCAAAACATACTTAAATCTTAAAAATAATAGTCTCGTTCATATAGGTACATTTTAAAGGATTTTGAAAGGATTTAATTTTTTTAAAGGTTTCCTTTGGTTTCTGAATTATTTACTGTGATTTATATATTCATAAGATTTTTTAAAGCCCTAAGCCCATGATCTCTCAGTACTGAGCATTTAACATATTCTAAAGTAATAACAAATTCGGTCATGTCTAACTGACTCTCCCAAATCATAATAAATACCCAATTCACAGTAGTGTGGAAGGAACTTCGGGACTATGATACTCCGAGTGACACATGAGACAAAAACAGTGCCCAAGCTGCTATTTGATCAAGTTGTTATGAAAATAAAAGCACATCATTTGTATATGGAAACATAATTTAATAATCTTTCTCCCCACCACACCCCCATCTACTGGTTTCTCATTCTTTGTCTCTTTCCTCTCCTTTCTCCCTCCCTGCTGCCTATCTGTTCCCCTTTCTCTTGTGACACTTGGCACTGACTGTAACACTATCACAGGACAAAAAAATTCTGTATCACAAGAGGAAATCTCCTGTTTTCCTTTCCCATTAAATGACTGATGAAGACAAGTTTTCCCTTCTAATATCATGAATCCAAAGTAAAGTAATACTTATCTCTCCTCCTCATTTTGATTTGCTTTTTCACTTTTATTTTCCACTTCTCTACCTCTCCCCCTTACTATACAATTTAGAATGTATCAACCAGGTGCTGGGAAGTATTAGGTATGTGATGCCCAAATGAGGGCTGAGAGCTCACTCTTTCCACACCCACCATGCATCCAACAGCCACAGTGCCCAAGAGAAACAGGATAGAGTGTAAGTGTAGAGGCTCAATTTTGGTTCTCCTTTAAAAAAAAAAAATTATCCTACCAAAGCAGCTCTTTAGTTTTACTACCTGTAAGAATCTCAGGGTAAATAGTGAAGCCCCTTCTTCTTCAGCTCACAGGAAGATGGCAAGATTCATTTTTCTAGTGAGTGGCTCTCCAGGAAAATATAGAAATGCAAAAATAGTAACATCTTATTATTTTCTAAAGACCAGTTGAAATATTCAAGGAGCAAATATTGTAATTGAGATTTAATGTGGGGAAAATAGTTTTTTGGTTTTTGGGTTTTTTTGGGGGGTTTGGGTCTTTTTAAATTCATACTTTGAGGGTTGGATACTTTGCATATGTGAAAATCGAATAATTGACACACATATATGTGAAAATGATATATGCAATTTAAAACAATTGTGCAATTATATTTACTCATATATGACTTGATTCTCTGGTTTCTCAATCCCTCTTGGTCCACTCTACCTTGCCACAGACAGAAGCTTTTGCATTGGAGAAGTTTTACCGTTTTTCAGACACGGTAAATTCACTTTCTTAACTCTAAGTAGAGGAATGTGGTTATCAGTGAAAAAAGCAGACAGCATATTCTGCACCTAGGCAGTGTTTGGTGGGGAAACACAGCCCCTTGCATATTTAAAGCCAAACAACCACCATCTCCCTTCAACCAAGGATATTCTCTTTTTCAAACTCCAGTTGTCTTCCCTTACTCAGTAAAAAGATATTTAAATATTATCCTTCACCTAATCAACTGAGCTATTTGATTGGTCAAAGTGATTTTTAAATATATATTAAGCAAAAATAACATATATAGTTTTATAATAGTCTCCATGAAAGAAATAGTCATTTGTTTTGACAAAATTAGTTCCAAAATTAATAGAAAATTTATTTCTACAAAGAAGTTCTAAATGCATCCTTTCTGGTCAGAAAATAGAGGCCTAAAAATAAGTCAAAAATAAAATACTTTGTCCAACCTATGTATTTTTAGAATCCTTTTTTAATGTTAAGATGAGATTCTTTATAATAAATTAATGATTTTGGTTTTGATGGCAGCATCCTTTGAAATGTTGATTACAGAGCAATCACAAGGTCACATGTCCAAGTATAGTAGCTAAATAGAAAAGTAGTCTATATTACAGCATATTGGTCGTTGGACTTGGCCACCATAATATAGCATTCAATGTTGGCTTTAAACATACACAAGCCAAGAATTCAAGCTGGGGAATCACAAACAGTCCAGTCTATTAAACTAAAATTTCTGGAATAAAGTGCATTTAAAAATACCTCCCCAGATAATTCTGTTGCACATCTTGGTTAAGAAGAAATAATGTTAGATGAACAGACCGGAAACATGTTATATTTATCTAATTGAAGGATTCTCAATTTCATAGCAGGTATCTAGAGCCAGTGTTATTTGTAAGCACTTACTAAGTTTTCTTATATAATAATATGTAATCATTCAACTAATATTTTTCTACTAAATTGCATATTTGTTCCCAACCTAGCTAGCCACTCTATTTTTTTCATCCCTGGGGGGAAAAATTCATTTGATACAATTAGTTTTAGTTAATTATCGTAACTATAACTTTGAAAATTTTTTAATTGCTTTGTATTTGCATAACACAAATGGCCTCTTTGGGAGAGAATATATTTAAATTTCTGGTAACTAAGCAGTTAATGCCTATACGAGCTTTAGTATAAAAAATATATATTTAACTAAATATTGCTTTACAAAACAATGCACAAAGAAGTCTGATGAAAAATTAGGTTTATCTCAGCAACAATCAATACATACTTATTTTTTTAAGAAGAAACGATATGGTAATGCAAATAGATTTGTTAGAAATTATACGCATTCCATTTATTTTGTAATATTCCCATCTTTGTGTAGATTTGGGGTTGATCATTTCAAGTTTTTGAAAACTGTTTTTCTCAACCTAACAACTCTCTGGCTGACTGAATTCATCATTTAAAAAAAAAGTATGTATTTTTCTTAGAAACAGTATGAGCAATCTAAATCTTTAAATCAAAATAATCTAAATGAGTCTAAACATTGACCCAAAGCCCTTTATTTTCATGAGTATGGGTTTATATAGTTTTCCCAAGCACTTTAAGTTGGCAGAATAGATGAAGTAAATAAGATAACTTCAGTATAAAAAGTTTGTCACAACAAAGGACCGTACGTTGATGTAAATGTTATTCCTAGGAAAGTTTAAACTTGGTTCAGCATTGGCTTAGCATTCATATGGAATCTCTCATATCTTACTTTTTCTCTATTAAGGTACAAGCCGGTGAATCTTTGGTCTATTGTGAAAGAATACAAGTTTGCTCTTGTATCCAAATTTCCCCACCCCACACTGTCATAGCTTGTTATGTGTTGGTTACCCACTGCACCATGTCATAGACGCTTATTTCCAGTGCTGTATATGTGTGGGTGTGTGCATGATATGGAAGTATTTTGGTGAGAATTTGCTCTTCCCACATGTGATATAATTACTTTAGCCTGCAGGATTATAAAGCCGTGCCATAATGTTTCTGAATATATGTTATTTGTTGAGATAAATGGATGATTTAGGGTTGCATTTCACGTAGCTTCTTCTGCATCACAAGGTAATGATGCAACGGTTTGCAGAGATAAAACATTCATATGGTATTCTAACACTTTTATCTTCCTGATTTATTGTATATTTAATTATTATTTACATACTTAAATAAAATAAAAAAGGACTCTGAGTTCTAGATTTGAGAAACAATGATCAAGTTTCTATTCTGCAAGGCACGATGGTTATCTTTTTAAGATTATGATATCATTGACTACATTTTGACTACCTGTACAAAAAACTTGTCATTATTTATTGCCTTACATATTTACATGCTGTCCTACTTCAAAAATAACTCAAGGTAACTTCTAAGAATAACAAATAATTGTTTTTTTCTGCCCTCTATAGTTTTTCAGCCCCATAGTCTTAGGGCAAACACAAATATATATGGAAACTCTTTTGAAGGAATAAGGCTCTACGTAGTTGAAAGCAATGTGGCACCCTTATATTCTAAATTACTTCATAACATTTCCATCCTAGGAATATTATGGGGTATAAGATATTATTTTAGTAGGAAAATGTTTCCTATAAATTTCTGACATGCCTAAGGAAAAGCAGTTTTCCAATAATTTCAAACTAAAGTATATTTGAATGACTCTGATATATAGGGGTTAAAAATTTCATCCTCTCAAGGAAAACAAAAATACTAAGAATTTAATGACTTCCTGCAAACAAATATTCAGAGTTTGTGTTAAACAGAACTGAGGGGGGCACTTGGCGGGATGAGCACTGGGTGTTATGCTAAATGTTGGCAAATTGAACTCCAATAAAAAAAATAAAATAAAAATAAAAAAATAAACAGAGCTAATTCTTAGAGCTATATTCCCTCTGAAATATGTGTTTAGGAAAATAGTACTCAAACTAATCTTTACTTAATCTAATTTCATATGTGTTTTAGTGAATTACATCTCAAAATTAACTAAAATACATATAGTGCTTTTTACACATGTTGTCTATTATAATGTATTATTTATGTCACTCCATAATTCTGAGTTGGCACTGAATGAATCTAGCATATTGTGCTAGAAATAAATATATAGGTATTTTAAAAAGTTATTTCATTGATTTCTCATCAATCCTTTTGTATGTATTCCATTTTTATATTATTTTATTTTAAGCATTCATCTTTTTAAGCTTACATTTTACCATTTAATAATTTCCAAACCATTTCTGAATCTAAATTCAATATGCCAAACATAAATTTGGCTAATTCATAACTAATTTATATGTAACCAATGATATGCAAAATTCTCCTGGGAACTAGATTTCAAAGAATTTTATATTGACAATTGATGTGCAACTATAAAGTATTTTTAACCTCATCTATAATTATACTCTGCTTTCCATTTCAAAGTAATGAAATGCATACAGATGTATTAAACTGAATATTTTATTTTAAGCTGGCATTTATTTTAGAAAAGCATTTTCAATTTATTCACATATTTCATCTTACCTCAGAATTTTCTAAGTGATGGCAATTTTTCCCAACAAAAATAAGCCACTGTTATGTTTATTAGTAACTTTTTTCAAAATCCACACACTTTGAAATCATGCAAGTGGAAATTAATAGCAATTCACTTTTCCTTCCTTTGTCACTTTCCTATTTGGCAATTAGAAGTTACAGAAAACTATTTAAACAGGTCTTTCTGTGTAAATAATATAATAAATAATAAATTATTTAAATAATAAATAATAAAAAATATTTATTATATATAGAACACTCAAAGGCACCTACCAGGGGAGAAACATTAGGATGAAAATAATATATTTAATGCTATTGTATCTCACAGCAGTTCACACAATAAATCATCACTCATGCTGTCTTAGAGGCTTCATGTTTTATTACCTCTTACTAGCAAGCTTCATGCCTTCACCAATCTACACTCAAAAATATGATTTGTTCTTCTTTTTGGTCATTTTGAGGATAGGAAATTAAATCTTATCTTACATGTATGTTAATATGTATTTTTTTGTGGTGGAAATGAAACCATTCAACTGAATGACTAAGCCTACCCTTGAATTTTCTATTTTTAATATTTCTAGTTATAAATATGCATGTTAGCACGAGTCAGTCTTGGCCTAATTCTCTAATAAAATGAAAAACCATATAGAATATTTCACAATGCAGTACTGATGCTTAATTACCAAAACATTTTTCTTTCAAACAGTGAAAACCGGTCCTCCTGTAGAAAGAATTATATACTAACTAAATAGGTTTTTACATTTTTCATTGCCTACCCTTCTAACTTGCTTAAAGCATACTAGGAGGTTTTACTTGTAAATAAATTAAGCTATCTCTTCAATTTTACTTTTCTAATCAGCCATGTTCTTTTGCTCATTTTTACTTTATTCTATTTAATCTTTATTACTGCTTATATTTTGAGTTGGAAAGTGCTTAATTTTATGAATATTAAATATTGGCTAACACATAGCATCAGAGTAAAAAATTGTAGATATTTGTCTAAATATTTGCTTGTGTGGCCTTCAGTCAATCAGAAACTCAAGCTGAAGATACCTGCAGAAAACTGAAATATTTCCAAGAAATATTTGAATACTAATCGGAATAAAGAATATCACTCTCTGCACATCTAAACATACATAAACACATGATAATTTTATGACTGAGTTTTACAAAACAAAGAAATTAGTTTAGTCATAAAATAGTTTAATGCACCTTATAATATAGTAATCTGATACTAATAATGAACTATTAGAAATGTTTCATCCATGCTTAAAATTATTTTTTAAATATTTTTTTATTTTTAAAAATTTTTTAAAGATTTTATTTATTTATTCATAAGAGAGAGAGAGAGAGAGGCAGAGACACAGGAGAGAGAGAGAGAGAGAGAGGCAGAGGCACAGGCAGAGGGAGAAGCAGGCTCCATACAGGGAGCCTGACGTGGGACTTGATCCTGGGTCTCCA